AGTGCAGTGAATGGGCGCAATTTCATTCTTCCCTCCTTTCCTCCTCAAACCCAACCTGAAGAGTTTCTCAAAAAGGACAATATTTGTGACCTGAAAGCCGACTGCAACCCATCAACACCCGCGTGCTCATGTGTGCAAGTGATAACTATTCCCCATAAGGAAACTATTCAATTGGTATTTTCAGCAATTGGTGCTTTCCACAACGCTCATCCAATTCACCTTCATGGCCATACCTTCCATGTAGTTCACGTCGGATACCCAGATTATGACCCAAAACCTGGTTTTATTACAAACCACAACAGTGATATATACTGCGATGACGTTCACTGCACACAACAGAACTGCGATAAGAGGAGATGTACCAGACCAAGATGGAACCGAGAAAAGCGCTTTTCTATAGATTCCCATACGATCAGAAAGGACACAGTTATGCTCCCTGCTGGAGGGTACGTTGTTATCAACTTTCTATCCGATAATCCTGGCAACTGGTTTCTTCACTGCCACATAGAGGTACACCAGCTCGAGGGAATGGCAATGATTGTCAATGAAGCTCCACACGAGCAAAGTCAATTGCAACCACCGAAAGAGATGAACAAGTGTGGAGACGTTGAGATAAGTGTCCAAACGTATCAAAACTATCAATCCAAGTTTCACAGAATGTACGCTTAGTTGCCAAAAGAAAGGTTTTAGCACTCTCAGCAGCCAAAAGTCTAACTAAAACCACTTAGCTCTTAGTCAAAACTATAACAAAATTCTCGAACGTGATTGGTTATCACCAGCCCGATTTGAGCACTAATAGGACAGTGCACGCGTCATGCTTGTAATTGGACAGTGTAATAAGATATTTTAAGGGATAGTAAACACGTCGTGTCTACGTTAGTGGACAAAACGCGTCATGTGCGTGCGTTGTCACGCATTTCACCAAGTTAACAGTTTTTTTTACTGAAAACGTATAACCGATGTCTATTTTCTTTCTCAAATTTTGTCATGGTTTTGACTATTTTGTAACAGGACTTCGTGTCTTCCAATTCTGTCTGTAATCATACCTGTGATTAACAAATAGGTCTCCCGCTTCGCGGTCGTCCTATTTTGTTAATCACTCGTATGATTATAGACCATTCAGTCCTATTACCATTATTAATTAAAAAACAATCGGTGGAAATGCATGTGCTAAAAGCCGTACTTTCTCTCCGCATCTTTCTCTTCGTGCGAAACACAAAACTAGCAATTAAGTTGCTACTGCTCGTTATTCGATGAATACCCGAAGCGATGCGTCGTGCATGCATGTAACTTGACAGCCTTTTTCAAGAGGCAAATTCTACGTCGACTCGCCTTATTTTCAGACCCAAACGTTCTTTCTTTTACACAAGGTAACGCAAAGGAAAATCATGGTATCGAATATTAAACACACATCAGACGCGCATAATACCTATATGTGCGTACATTTGTTCGCGTATATATGCGTCTAACAACGTGCAAATGTGTGTACCAAATTTCTATGCGTAGTTAACGAATAAGTACGCGGCTCTGTAGTTGTTGACGCAATCTCTGTTGGAAACAGAGTGGCATTGTTAGGAAGGTATTCCTCAAATTTTTCAAAAATTTCAGTATCCTCAACAACTTCAATGACACTTTATGAATGCTGATTCAGTAAGTAGCAATGTCGTTCATTACGTTATCAGAATGCTTTCCACGCATTTTCTTTAAGATTTTTATTAAGTTCAGTAGGCATAGTAAAGGCTAGAACGGGGCCTAGTTCCTGCAAATGTTAGCCAATGATAGCTACCGCACCTCAACCTTCAACTTCAATACTAGTCCTAGTGCGAGTTCTCATAACATCACCTCTAGAGTTTGGCTTGTCGGGAGGGAGGGGGATCACTACCACAGAATTTAGGCCAACCGGTAAGCAGAGAGGATAATGGGAAATATCGATCCTAAACCCTTCTTATTGTTACTATGTAAGATTACAAGGCTATACATGTACCCAGCTAATGATGGGTTTAATTTTGGTAAGCAAAACACGTATCACCCACAACCAAATATTATCTTGGTCGATTTCACGAGACAGTGGACTTTAGTCGCGTTTAAAGTAAATTGTTAGCTGATTAGGAAAGAAGAGAAAAATGAGATAATCGTGAATTTCGTCGGGTTTCAAGTGAACCGTTTAAGCTGATGGAAGACATTTCGGATGTTTAGCAATCAGTTTGTAGTACTTGTATCTATAAGCTACCTTGAATTTCTTATTACCTTTTGAAAGTGCGTTAAAAATGACCTACTTGATTTCCTTAGATTTTCGCAGGTTCAGGATTCTGTACTTTGGACGAAACTTAGATATTTCAGACTACTACTCAATTACGTCTTTGCTGAATTTTTCATTACTTTGTTTACGGTGTATTTTAATTTTTTTGCCTTTTTTTTGTAGATATTCAGTATTTAACCAGTAATATCTTTGTATTCATAGGCTTTGCTGAATGTTTGAATACCTCGCTGAGTAGAAGTTTACTATAAGCAGTACTGTTGTACTTTATTGAGTGCCCTTTAATTGAGTGTCGTAAAAAATTAACTTAATCTCAACAGCCGATCAGAAAAAAGAAAAGCAGTACAAGTTGCCAATTATACCCGCACCTGTGCGAGGCCCAGGAAAACATTTTAGTTTTGGATCTGATTGGTCGAGAGGATGTTGTGATATTTCTGGACCAATCACCAGTCAAGGTAGATCAAAACGAGAGAAGTTATGCATTACTTTTGACACTCAGTTAAAAAGTGTTCTTATGCATCATGAAGACTTCAGTCATAGGGAAAAAATAGGCGCAAAAAATTGCACGTAAAATTTGGTTGAATGAGAATATCAACAGTTGTTTTATTCATTAGTCTCTGATTTGATGTTTTAAAAGTTCATATAGACATTTTGCATAAGTGCTATTAACTCTTTAGGAGGGGTCACCTTTGACAAACAGTAACACACATTAATTCATTAACTGAGTTGATAATGTAAATCAGTCACGGTATAGAGTTTACAAGCCGACGTTTCGAGCATTGGTCCTTCGTCATTCGCTCTGACGAAGGGCTAACGCTCGAAACGTCAGCCTGTAAACTCTTTACGGTGGCCAATCTACATTATCAACTCAGTTGATAAAACCAAAATTATCTTGTTATACCTTCCCACCGAGCAGCACCACAGTTTCTTTGAAAACTTACCCCCTTAAATCAATAACACATTGATAAAGTTGTTGAGTAATTGACTGTGATCTTTCGAACGCATGTTTCATCTCCTTGGAGGAGTGCATGAAGGAGAAGAGCACTCACAACTACCCCTCCTCCCCCTTTCCCCCCTCCCCCCCTCTCTTAAACAAAAATTGGAGGAAAATATGAAGATGCAAGTTTCATTTTCCAGTTCAATACACAATTGAAAATAATTTTTGGTTACCAGATCAAACTCTGAAAACTTTAAACAAGGAATATGCTTGGAAATGGGACTTTAACCACATATTCCCCATTAGAGTTGATTGATAAAATTGCTTTCAAAATGCTCATTCGATGTTTCCTTCAATCCGGTAGAAGTGCATTCAAACGATTTCTTTCAAACAGGTTCATTGGAAATCTTTGTTTCCTTTAAAGAAGGACTGATAGATTTTATTTTTTTTGGAAAATGACAGTTTAAAGCTCTCATGTTCTTGTGGGAACACCCCATGATATTTACACAGCCTCCGAAATCAACTCCACTTCACCCATTTAAAGAAATTGCAACGAGCTTCAGGATTGGAGCTGTGTCCTTGTGGTCTGGCACAACAATGAAACTGCCTCCCTTGATTTGGACCTTTGATTTTTACTGTTCTTAGGACGCACGGCTCCTTGTGACCGCGACAAAGAGGGGATGGACGCGGCCCAGAGAGAATACTTTTCCAAATTGCCGCATCCACTTTACGCTTCTCTGCGCAATCTTTGCGACTCAATGCGTTTTCAGGGACAGGTTCGTTTTCAGAAACATTTAAAGCCGCGTCTGAAGATGAAACGGAGGTATTTGAGAGTGAAGAGACGTTATCCGCGCCTGCGTACTGTTCAAACTCGGAAGGAGTAGTCTTACCTAAATCAAACGCTTCGTTAGTTACCTCGGTAACACTCTTATTGACTGCAACCGGGTCTGTAGACCTTTTAAAGAAACTAAACAGATTTGTCTTTGGCTGTCCTTCAGCTTTGTTTTTCCCTCCGGCAGATTTTTGACGTTTTACAGATTTGTTTTTGACATCACCGCAAGAGGCACTCCGTTTTAAGGACGTCTTTGTTTCCTGTGTAACACTTAAGTCCGTAGAACAAGCCTCGGGTTGACTCTGCGACTGTTGTCCATGTTTCAAAAAGTAAGACTTAAGTTTCTGTTGTTTCCCAGAAAATTCTGGCATAAACTTCGTACAAAGGGAAGGAGGTTTCAATGCAGCTTGAAAAGAAGTCTTCAAAGTTGCTACAACTGGACAGTGATCTGAGCCCTCGACATCGGCCAGTATCTCACAGTTTAGGAATTCTTTATCAACAAGTTCTTTATCGGCAAAAATGTAATCAATTCTTGTACCGTAATTGGTTTGACGCGCACTGGTCACCGTGCACCAATTGGTGTAAGCGTCACGCTGGGAAGGGTGAAAATAACGGAATGAGTCTACAAAAAGCCCACCTTGTGCTTGGAGAGGATCACCTGTGTCATGGTCTGGATTAGCGCCGTTAACTTCACATGGAACCAAAAACTGATCCAACCACTTTCGTCCAGGATGAGCATTGAACAGTTCCTGAGGAAAGAGTAAAAACATCTACATGTAGATTTGTAAGATCACACAATAATCCTTCTCTTTTAAGACCTTTTGTGTTAGCAGAAAGGTAACATGTGGGTTGGAGACGTTCTTCCATATTTCTGGGCAACACCCTGATCGGTTAAAAAGAAAGGATTGTAATGATTTTTTTAATGAATTCAAATTTATAGTAAAACAAAATTTTTAAAAAATTGGACCAATGATGACATAATTATGGATGAATCTATGTCACATGATGAACCATTTCATTAGCAATAATCAAATCATATGGTAAAAACGTTGACGTTGGGTCAGCATTCGAGCAGAGTGGGCCACTCTACCAGAGCTTGTCCACAATTCCCATTGCATGAAGTTACTAAGATTGTTGCTTTTCCCACTGGATGTTGTTGGTCCATGGCAGGTTACCCCCAAGCATTTCCACCACTTTCCCTGAAATTTGGCCAAAACCCATTTATTCTGCTGGGTAGAATGAGGCAATGGGAGAGTTAAGTGTCTACCCTGAAAACACAACACAATGAGCAGCCTGGTCTTGCAGCAAGAGCTCATGACCTCGCATGAAGGAGAAGTTGCTTGTGCCTATTGGACAAGTCTGACATACTAGCTGTGACCCTAAGGCTATTAAATCTCCCAAAAACAAAACGAATGGAAAATGAAATTTTTATGGTATTAAAGAAGAGGGAAAAAATTATGGTATGGCTGAAATATTTACCTCTTTGTCAGGATCACAATGATCTATCATTTTATGTGATGTGTTAATGTCACCAAGAACAATGACGTGCCTACATTGCAAGGAAAAATAAATAACTGAGGAAGGTCAAATCTTGACATTTCAGTATGGTAAATATATCTGTAGATGTATCTTGAGGCTCACGC